ATGTTTTAAAGTAGAACTGCTTTTTAACAAACTTTATATTTAAAGTTCACGTTTCTTCTTCCTTCATGTTTAAATGGTTCTTATGGCAAATCAAAATTAAAAAGTATAAAATAAATAAAATGTAAATAAATCTTTTTTTCAGAGTTTAAAGTAAATAAAACCATGACTGACTTTTAGTTTCATTTTTATCAGTTTTTATTTATTAATTGTTTTTCTAGTTCTGATTAAAAGCAGGTTCAAAAACAATTTAAAAGCTTTTTTTTTTTAATTTTGCTTGTTTCCTCTGTTTAACACCAGAGAGGTTCTCTGGAGATAAATTTGACTCAAACATCAAAAATAATGAGGCTGAAAAACAGTTTTTATTTGTTTTGTGTTTTAAACTCGTCTATTTTTGCAGCGACAGTCGGATCCTTTCTGAGACCGTCCTGATGTTTCTTTTTTTATTTCTGCGTCGTGTTTGTGTCGAGGCTGCAGCTGTGGGAGGAAATCTAAATATTTATAACGGCTGCAGGTCAAACAGGTCCAGGTCTCAGAGGCTGAACTTCAGCTGATCTAAACTCTCTTTAGTTAAAGCACAGATGTGTTTTTATTTTTGTGTTTTTTCATGTCGTCACAAACAGCTTCTAAAGAATGTGTTTTAAATTGGATTTGTTTGTTTCTTACAGCCTTTTGTTTCATTTCTTCAGTTTCATCTGGTAAATTATTTTATTTCTGAGGCTGACCTTCACACTTTCAGTGTTTTTATGTAACAAACTGAAAACAACAAAAATCTAAAAACAAACAAAAAAACCTTCAGAAAGTCTGAAGAACTGACCGAGACAAATTATACACAAAAAACTGGTTTTCAGCTTCTCCACAGTGTAAGACAGCAGAAAAATCATGTCTTAAAACCAGTTAAAAACTAGCAAAACCACTTTTTTTACTGCAGAATCTTAAATTATTTTATACTTGTTGCAGATCAGATGTTAAAATGATTCGATGCATCAGATCTGTAAGGTTTCATGAACCTCAGGGTTTTTACACCTTAATTTTATATTTTGTATCTGCCTCTTTTTTAACTTCTTTAGTTTTGGAAGCAGCTCTGACTAGGGCTGTGTATTGGCAAGAACTTGGCGATACGATACATATCATAACAGAGGGGTCATGATACGATATATCCTGATATACTGCGATACTGTAAACAAGGCGATATATTGCGATTTTTTTTGTCCAAAAATTATATTAAATAAAAACCTCTTACTGAAAAGGAAAAAAAGAAAAGCTAATGTTTACTTACAATGCTAATGCTCTCTTACTCTCTGGCGCTCAAGAGGTAGAGGAGCCAAATGTCTGGCTCACTGCTGCCAACTAGTGGTCAGAGGCTGAATTACAACAAAAAAATGAACGGCTGGCAAGAAGGTTGACATTTTAAACCTTAATAAAAAAATTGATACAGGGCTTTAGAATAATCGACACAGTATCAGGAACTGAAATATCGCGATATTTCAGTGTATCGATATTTTCTTACACCCCTAGCTTTGACAGCTTCAGTCACGATGGTTGATTAATGACTTTAAATCCTGCTCCTCCTGTGAAGAACTCTAAAAATTACGATGGCGTATTAGGGCCACTTTGCAGATGAAAAAAAAGAGGAGTAAATCTCAGAGGAAAAAAATCAGAATTTCTGAGATTAATTTCAGAAATTTTCGAGAAAAAACAGGAAAGTGTCTGAGCTCCAAATGTCGTAAATTTGCGAGAAAAAACTCAGAATTTCTGAGAGTAATTTCAGAAAATTTTGAGAGAAAAACAGGAAATTCTCTTATTTTGAAAAGTCGCAAATTTGCGAGAAAAAAACTCAGAAATTTCCATAATTAAACACAGAATTTGCAACATTTAAACTAAATATTTTCTGACTTGGTAAAGTCAGAAATTTACAAGAAAAAACTCGTAAATTTATGAGAAAAAAAAACTGAAGTTTTGAGGAATAGCTAAAGGACTATTCCAGCTGTTTTCACCATCTTTTACTTGCTCAAATTTAAAAACTAAAACACGTAGAGACTTCAAACCTGGACTAGATTATTCTACACTGATTGTAGAATATTTAAAACCAATTTGTGAAACATATATTTGATATGTGAAACTTCAGAATATGGTGATTTCAGCACTTTTTATGTGTTTTATGAACAGACTGTGAAAAGCTGAGACGTTTCGGCTGCTTTTCTTCAGCACCTTGTCTAATCAGAGGGAGTTTCTCCTAAACAAATGGTTCTGGTATATTTGTGTTTATCCCTGTGAGCTCGTCCCTCAGACTCTGCAGAGATGCTGAAGTGGTTCAGATCAACTCAGAGGTCCTGATGAAACCAGAACATTTTAAACAGAGACGTCACATCAGAACCGACCTGATCTGCAGCTCAGCTTCAGCAGAATTTATTAACAAAACTTGACATTTGTCTGCTGGCAGCAGGTTTCTGAAGAGCAAAATGTTTGACTGGAAACAAAGAGTTAAATAAAGTAAATGTTGACCGAATTTAAATGAGGTTTAATTGAGGATAAAATGAGCCGAAACTCTTCACTCTGCAGCCGAAGCTCTGCTTTAATTGACTCGAGTCCACAAGTCTGCTTTTATCTGCAGCCGTCTCCCAGGCTGCAGACTGTGTGTGTGTGTGTGTGTGTGTGTGTGTGTGTGTGTGTGTGTGTGTGTGTGTGTGTGTGTG